GGTATGGGGTCGCGAACCCTGGTAGCCTAATCGGCTTTGTTTGTCTTGTTTATTGCATTTCAACTTCAATACGGCCAATGCGCCCTTCCAAATTCACTTCCTCTCTTTGTACAGGCGAGGGGGGTGTTTTTGGGGGCATGTACTTTTATCATAGCAGTTTGTAGTACGCCATTACCCAACGCGGTATTTGGCTCAAGTTTACAACCCGGCGACTCATCCCGCCATTGCCGACAAAAGCGCTGGCAGCGGCGCCGTCCCGGTGCGTGGGTGACCGAACCCCACGCCCCGGAGTACGGCGGCTGGGCGCTCTTGGGCGTGGGTCAGGATTGTGTTGGGGTTTGCTTTGTTGCTGCTGCTCCGCTTTTGCTTGGTTAATTGCTTTGCTCGCTTGCTTGCTGCGCTCGCTTGGTTGGCTGCGCTGGTCCCCTTTCCTGTTTGGGTTTTGCGGTTAAACAGGATCCCCCGTTTGTTATCTGTGTGGTTCATTGCCAGCCGAGGGCACCACTTTGCCCTTGGGACTGGGGGGCTTAAACTGTCTCTTCTTGTTGGTGGGTTAGGGCCTGTTTATTCTCTCGAAATACTGTTTCAAACCCTTTCGCAAAAATAAAACAAAAAATCCCAAACTAAATCTCGACCCCTTGAATACTCCCTTTGCGTGGTTACATGATGTACGCGCCACAGGAGGGTGAGATAAGGGAACCAACTTGGAGCCCAAGCTTTGCGGGCGATGTGTAAATGCTAGTTGCAGTAGATAGAATTCAGATTTTGTTTGAGCCGTGACGGCCATGAGAAAGCATAGCATTCGTTGCCAGCAGAGCAATGGTGCTGAGCTAAAAGATTTCAAATGATGCCTTCATAAAGTGAAAGGCATATTTGAGGCGGGATGCTAACCATTTAGCTCCCTTGCACAGTTGTGGATACGTGTGTTGACTTGGTTGTACACCACGTTAGTTTTCACACGATTTTGCATGTGTACATGAGACTCCGACTTACTTGCAGGCGTCTTGGCACAGGTGAAAAAAAAAACAGAAACCCTGATCTTTGGGACCGGGGATTGGTTTGCTTTTGGGGAACCTTTCTCTTGTGGCTTGTTTACCCCAACTTACCCATTGCCTGGGCACAGGCTCGTGCCCGAACCACAATATCCAACGGAAGCTGTAAAGAAGCAAAAGTTGTGGGATCGCAGCAGTATTGTCATTGTGCTCTTCGCTTGTCTTGCGCGTCAACTGATGATAGTCATTATCATGATCATGATAGTGATGAGGATGACAAATATCACCTTGATGAGGATGATGACGACAACAACAAAGAAGGTGATGTGAGTGATGGATGGATGATGATGATGATGGTGATGATGGTGATGACGATCATGTTGCACTGCGAGTTGCGTTCGCTCCCTCAATGTGGACTTAGTATCTTGCTCGAGTGGATTGCCTTCAGCCATCAGCTGTTTGCTGCACCACATGCTGATGATCCAAGGCCATAAGCAGAATGTACGTGTGTTAGAAGCTAACGCAAGGTTTGAAGACCTGTTATTGAGCTCACTCAAACTTCGCTTTCCCTTCTTTGAATTCAGCGCGCTTCACTTCTTGAAGAAAGTTGAAGGTCTTGAAACGGACTTTCTCCTGTTCTGCACCACCACATCCAAGTGTTGCACGTGCCTTGCCAATTGCCTTCTGTCAGAGTCTACATTCTGTTTCATACGCGCTGTCATGTCAAATCATCTAAAGATTGTTCTTGCCTGCCCACGAAGAATTGTTATTGCCACTGTTAATGTTGTTGTGGAGAGCGACGGAACTTTGTTTGTGAATGACGCATGAGCAAGATGCGGTGCTTGGCGGTGTCAACGCGGATGTTGCAAGTTGAAAGTATTACTGCGGTGAGATACACTTGCGTGCCGTTACCTTGCAGACTCTTGCCGCCCGCGTAGTCCGCCATACCTCTCTCGATTTAGAAAAGTGTTCGTACGTGCTCCCTCTGGTCCGAGCCGCTTGGCACTCATTTGCTCGGTTGAAGTGGAGTGTTGATTGGAGTTCCCTTCCTTTCCATTTCCTCTTTAAATGTCTTTGGTGATCTCTTCATGGCTTTGCCTGCTGGAAGCATTTTTGTTCGTGTTCTCTTCTACCTGTTTGACTGCTCGATTATGGGTATGGCTCATGCTATGGCAGGGTATAAATCGCGTACTCTGTGTAGACTTTAGTAAAGCTCTGATCCTGTTACGCATCTCTTCTTTGTGTGGACTCATTGTCTTGCAGCTTATTTGATTAGCAGTGGTACTGGCGTACTGCGAGGTCGCTCTTGTCGGCTTGATATTTGCAGATGAACTCCCAGCAGTTTGCTATTGACACCCAGCGTTTGCCGTGGCATGATATGCATTAGACATTGCCTATGTGAGGCCCTTCGTTCGCTGCAACTGGGACTATGGTATTTGCGGACTTAGAGTATGAGCGCGCCGCGTCGCCCCCGCAACTTCCTTATTCATGTGTGTCTCAGAGGTGACCCATTGCATCTATTAGGCTGATGATTGTGCTTGCGGAGTGGTCGCATTCGAGGTTCTGGTCTCTGCTTTGCATTCCTTATTTGCGACTTACGTGGCTTTGGCAATGGCGTCTTCGTCGCGGCGGCGATTTTTATGTGCGACGCGGCGGCGTCTTTTGGTGCCTCTTTTTTGCAGTTTTCATGATTGCAGTATGGTATGGCCCTTCGACGCTGGTAGTCATGCGACTACGATGCGACGCGTTGGATGCCTTCGATTGCTCTTTGCATCCTATGTTTGGCGGTGGCAGCGTATCCACAGGGCACCCTCGGCGGCTTTGTGCTAATCCTTTGGCGCCATGCTTTCCATGTGCAACTTTGATAATTGTGCGTGCGCTGCGCCGCTTTTGGCTTTGATTGACTTCGGGCTTTTGGTGTCAATGTGGTATTGGTGCACGGAGGAGTCGCTCCCGATGGCTCGATTTTTTTGGTGGCTTCACCCTATACGCGGCCTTGTTATTGTTGCGTGTTTTGTTGCAGCGGGGACGTTTTTGGTTATTCTTGATCGGTGCTCTGCGGGGTCGCTCCCGAACTTCATCTTTTCAGGAGCCTTGGCGGTTTTCTTGGCAAGTTTGGGCAGCAGGGTGAGGAGATGAGCTGGTGCGCTTGGAATTTGGTTTGACATTTCGTGGATCTTCTTTTCCGTACATAGCTTGCGCGGTGTAGTATTTTGGGCGTTGTTTCACTCGAAGTCGGCCTTCGTTTGAGGTGCTCCGGCTCTTCCTTCAATCGATGATTGGTCAGTTGGGACTCCTGTTTCCTGACCTGTCGTCTTGTTGACTTGGCCTAGAATCTCTTTTTTGCGGGTTTGTTGAGACTTCTGTTTCCGAACCTGACTAGTAGACGTTGACGTGGGGTTTCTTGATGTGTTGAGACCTTGGTCTCCGGATCGGTGCCCTTATTTTTCAACCTGTCGCCACTGGCTTTCATGTCGGTGACGGGCGGCGTCATGCCCCTTGTGTCGAAGATCCTTGTGGGTGTCGTGTTTGTTTGTTGTGTGTGTGTGTGTGTTTTTTTTTTGTGTTGGTTGGCTTGGGTTTATCTTCGACACCGTTTCTGTCTTTCCTCATTTTTGCGCTATAACAGCGGACTGGCGATATTGCAACGGCCGCGTGGATCAAAAAAAGTTAAAGGAAGTCAGCGCGCAAATCCCAATTTAAGATTGATGTTTGTGAGACAAATGCTCAGGATAGAAGGAATTGAGGCTTGAATATGCTCCAGCAATGTATGAGCATATTCTGGAGCTGTGTCTTCCAAGATGCTCACAGTCTTCTCTTCTGCGATTTTCGAACTTGCTCTTGAAAGTCACAAACTCACCGTTGCCGCAGCGATGTTGAAAAACCGAGGAATCAACACACAGTTTTCTTTTCCCTTTCAAGAAGCAGCCACACAGGAAGTTGAGAAAATACTCCATTCAATTCTCGGATCTGTGAGTTTCTCATCAGGAGTTCACGGTCTGTGGCACAAGCCGGTTCTTGAGAAGGGGGCCGTGTCTCAATTACTGTGAATGTAATCCAATGCCTAGATCTTCATACCGAAGCCAACTACAGCCGTACGATGGAGGCAACTGTGTTCGAAAGATTGATGGTTTCATGGGAACTCAACTGCTCTGTGGAAGTCCTCTTCACTCAACATTCGGAGAACCTGCTCCGCTGCCACAAGTGAGGTTCGCTTTTAGAGGGCCCCCAACGACCTGAACAATGTCCTTGGAGGTCCTTGGTTGAGGATTTTCTCTGCTGCAATGGAAGAATTCGAAGACCAGGTATGCAAGCAATGTTTGGTCTGATGGAAACCATGCACAACGCGCCAGACTCAGCAAAGCGCGCTGGTTTTCCTGTCTCCTGATAGCTACAAGCAACGCACAAGCCTTGAGCCAATGTATGGCAGGCGGACTGCATCACGAGTGGAATGCTGTGAGGCAAACAAGAAAAGAGTAACACGGGGACACCGGGACAGTGTTTTCGCAAAAATATAGTTTTTCTGTGCACGGAACTGCGCGTGCCGTGGAGGGCGAGTGAGAGGGATTGCAGGCATGGAAAGCCGAGATCATTGCATGACGGAAATTAGGTAGACTAAGTTTGCGTGTGTCGAAATATGTGCAGTTTTGAAGCCTGCAGCATGTACCAGAAACCACCGCACAACGTTGAAATGCATAAAAGGCTACCGCGGGGAGACGTTGACATTTTGTCGTCATATGGCATGATGTGAAGGAGTGCGGCGCGATATACTTGGTAGCATCACCGAATCAAACCTTATTGTGCAGGACACGTACTTTCTAGTTGGAATATGGACACTAGTCGATACATGTTCAACTTTGCCGTAGCCGTATGTGCTTGTTGCACCACAGTTTGGGTTCACGCATGTGGCCACTATGTTTGCAACAAGCAACCATTGTAAATTCAGCTGAGATAGACGAGTTGGCAGAACATGGTTCATGCCTTACCATTTCTTCCGCCGCATTTTCAAAGTTCAACATCGGCCCCTTGGCCAAAGCTTTACATTTAGTCTGTGCAGTACGGCAACGGACACAAGCGTGGGCCCCAGATGTTTTCTGACCATTGACACAAGACATCCAGCATTTAATTTTATGTGGCGCAGCTTGGTAAAGCTTGTGCTTGCAACACCAGGGGCAACGCATTCTAAGGTCCTACATTTGACGCATCGGCAGCTTTCGCCCTTGCGTCCTTGTACATATATTGAAATGGCAGCAATTGATTGGCTTCCGGTTGTGCGTGCCGGCATGGTCTCCATGTGGATTGAATTGTCTTTCATGATCTTCTTTGCGTTGGGCGTCTCGGCTCACGCCAGATGATGCTCTTGTGCTTGGCGTTGCCCAGTCATTGGGGACAGACTGCAGGTTTCGTGCTGCTGCGCAACGGAGTTTTCAGTTTCCTGGGACCTGGCAATGCAAAGAAGGCGCGTTTGTGAAACCGTTTTGTCAATCTGCCAGTCTGCTTGAGCACGCAGGGTGATTATGGTAAGAGCTCAAGAAGAGCGGCGCAGTTTAGCAGCAAGTCGAAGAAGATCATTGAGGCTGAGGCAAGCAGAATGGAGACTATCGGAAAGGCTCTCACCATGCCTCTGATTTGCGTTGCGTGGTTTTGGTGTCAAATTATACACACTCCATGCAGGGTGACTGTCATTTTCCAGTTTCTCTGAACTGACGCAGTTAACTTTGAGTTATGCCCCCGCGTGGCTTGGATATGGGTCTGTTGCAACAGGAGCTGACGTATTTTTGACAGGCCTCTTCCGGCAATGCGAAGGAGGTGCTCAAGGCTGCACCGGATCTTTTCGGGCAAAGTGGATAGGGGCTGGGAACGTGCCTGAGAGGATGAACACGGAAGGCGTCCATGCATGGCAATATCCGCGCCTGACTTGGAGGCCTGGAGGCTCGGACAAGGAGCTCCAACTCCCAAGGTGGGTCGAGCTTGCAGTGATCATAGAGCGAACGTCTGAGATCTATATTTGAACAGCCATATATTTGAACCTTTGTGAATTGTCACATTGTCATTCTGGTATCAGTGCTGGGAGGAGCTGTTCAAAGTGGTCGTTCAAGCTTTCATCGACGCAGAACCCGAATCCCTTGTGAAGGACGAACTTGCCCGAGGGCTGTCATATCTCGTAGTTTCATGGCAGACATCA